AACAAAAATCCGAAATTACGGTCGTGCGTGTTATTCCGAGAACAGGTGAACCTCTAATGATTTCCTGCCATTTTACTTTCGATTAGATAGCGCATTCTTCTTTATATGAATAGAGGAAAAATAAAATCGATGTATCATTCTGTGTGTGTGCGTGTTGTTTTTGGATTCTAGAATTTACTTTGAAATAACTTTGACTTAAAATAAATACGTCGGATATTTACTGTTCCTAATTTTGTTATATTGCTGTTTTAATAATATTATTTAAATTTTCTTTACAATTTTTTTGAAATTTAAGACAAAAGAGATCTCAAAGTGAATTTCTAAAACTAACATTCAAGAAAATTAGAAATTCACAGAATATAAAATAATATAAAATTTATAATAATTAAAAAATAATTTTAGATTTTTTTAGAGTTTAAAAATTTAAATACAAGTATATATTTAGTCTATAAATAAACAACAAATGATAAACAAATTGATAAATAATAATTCTGATAATTCTGGTAAATATCAATAAATTGATATTAATTTTTTTAAACATAGCATTAAATTGCTAAGAAATACAGGTATGTCAGCTTATTGTTAAAAAGATTATTATTAAAAGATCCATAATGCTGCCTGTCGGTTTTGTCTCAAATTTTTCTCCATACAAAATGCGCTTAAAAACTAATTTAGACACTTGTGTTACGCTTATTAGTTATTTAATAATTATTGATGAAATAATTATTGTGAGATGTGCTATTATTTTCGAAGAAAAAATGAATTTGTCATTTTATTCGCGTTCTGCCTTCCTTTTCTCCGAACGGCTGTTTTCAACATTATAGTCCATGCTTATGTAAAGATAGCAGCAAACCATTTACCAAGGCGAGAGGTCGAAGATCGCCTTATAAATTAAGCTTTTATTACAGTTGCCGCTGCAGACGGCAAAGTCTTTTATTCATTCGATAAGGATTCCCTTTCTGCATTCGATTTAACGAAAACGTTAGGAAGGAGGGGAAGAGGAAGAGAATGATGACTTACAGCAGAAAGAAGATCCAAACAGGGGTTCCAACGGAAGAAAAAAAAAGGGAAAGAAAGAGAGAGTGTGAGAAGGAAACCATTTTATCTTCTTCCCCATGATTTTTGCTAATTAACCTCGCCGCAGGCACCGCCTGATTTTTGTTGCACGAGGAAAGATTAGCTCGTTGCTCCCGAAAGATACCGGCAAGGCTCGTCGAGATAGCGCTCGTATTTTTTTGTCCTTATCTAACGGGATCGGCGTCTCATCGATTATTTATCGCGATTAATTCACTGAATCATCTCTATATATGGTTTATAAATATATATTTCATACTTCTAATTTTTTATTTTCCCTCTCTTTCTTTTAGAATTTTATTCGCTACGCCCAGACGCATCACAATGTAATTTTATAGACTAGGAATATAGAATCTTCGAATCTCATTTCGTTCAGGATTGGCGAACGAAAGTTACATCCCTGATCTACGCGTTTCCTCGTCTCGGCGAGAGTTGCACATGCCACATGTTTATAATTCGGATTTATCATTCCCCTCGATATCGGACGTAGACAGTCGTCGGGTCAGCTCCTCTTCTCTTCTCTTCCTCTGAGAGGAGGAGACGGCGTTATGTCTCGGCGACGCGAGTACGAGTACACGCAGCTGTGCGTACGCAAATTAATGGCGTATCTCTCTCGTACGGTTTATTTACAGCCCAATAATGCGGCACCGGTAATTAGTGGACGATGCGATAAGCACCGAAAAGGAAAAGAAGCAATGCGTTATAAATAACGCGCAATATAATGTATTTAAAAGAGTCTCCTAGGCAAAGATGCATACGACGGAAGTGCATTCACGTAATCTAGTTCTTTCGTTCCTTCGATGCGTTTATTTTCAGTACAATTAGTCGAATAAATTGTTTCCGAGAACGTGCGTTTTACAAACAAGTCCTCGTCGCACAGATAAAAAAGTATTATTAAAATGATTTTATAATTGTTTGTGAAAAAAATACATCGTAAATTATTATTATGACGTAATTAAATAGCAATGCTTGCTACGAATACATTAAAAAGTGACAAAAGTAAGTAAGAGCCGATGCATGATATAATAGAGGGTTAAAAAAATATATATTTTAACAAAATTGAATATTTTGGAATTACATTAATAAAATACATACATAAAAAAAGTTTTTCTCCTTGCACTCTAATCACCACGTCTTGGTTTTTATTTGACAATTTTATCACCTAATAATTGTTATTACTGTAAGGCTATTTTCATTTTTATTTTTGAATTTATTATATTTTACTATAGAAACTTGTACATGCGTGCTTGCAAGACTTACAATTAGTGCATTAATTTCTCGCGCTCCGATATAGAGATAAAGTCGATTTTATCGCTATTGTTCATTTAGATCTCATTGTCATTGTATTTTGCAGGTCGTAATCGCGTCGCTCTTGCTTCCGCGATCATCTTCTTTCGATTAGCGGCCGCATCAGGTGTGTCGGCCCGACCCGATGCGGTTTCTAGTCGCATCGGGATTTAATGACCGGTATAATTGACGTCACGGTGTACGGCACGGGTGTCTAAGTGCTCGGAACGACGATGGGGTGGGTTTTATCGCGACAGGAAAGAGGCGAGGGTGATTTTTCCCCGACAATTTCTCCCGAGGTTCAAAGGTTCGGCTCGATAATACAGCTAACATCTATATTTAAAGAGATAACAAACGCCTCATTTATTTATACGCGAAATAGCGTGTCTTGTACTCCCGCGTGTTATCGTATTTTCATTTACGAAAGGAAGAAAAGGACACTCAACGCCACTCGGTACAGACATGATCGATATGTAATCGTGTTTTATATAATATGACTACTAATAGTGTTTAAAAGAGAAATACATCACAATGTTGCGATTTATCATCCATCCTAAAGATACGAATCATATACAATAGAGAGAAAGCTTTCTGTTTTAAATAATTTATTTAATATCTGTGCGAATGTGTGGATAGCTTTAATATATATAATTTGTAATATTTTTTAATATAATATCTTTTGTGTGACTCAACTTTTATTACGTTAGATATTTTTACGCATATTTGTTAATGTATGGAAAATTTTATTTAATAATAAATAAATGTCTGGGGGAAAAGTATTTCATTATTTGTTCATTAAATATATTTTTTAATATATTTTGTTTAATCTGTATTAAATTTATGATTTAAGTTTGAGATACATACAAATATGCATGTTACTAGTCTAAAAGCCTCCTTAAACAATCTCGACAAAAATTAAAATAGAATTTTAAAAGATTTTTCTAAAAAAATATAAGCCAAGTATATATTTAAATGGTACAAATATAAATTTAAAAAATCTGTAAATACTGTTAAAAAATTAATTATATAAACGTATGGGATCAATACAATTAATAAAGTAGACATTAAAGCATATATGACGCATAAAATTATAAATGGAATTCTGTTTTAAACTTTATCGTAAATTATCATAGATTATCTAAAGAAGCCCTTTTAGAGGAATTATTTAAGCTACAATGTAACTTAAATTGGACTTTGAATTGTAACTTATCGATAACTGGTAAGTTGCTGTTAAGCTTATTAACATATCATTCAAGCGAGTGTGAGCACAGAAAGAAGACTGAGAGATGTCATGGCCCGCTTTTAGATGATCCCTGGAAGCGATACTTCCTCTGTGGACATTAAAAATGTGGACATGAATTACAAAACCAATCTCCACGAATGTTCTCAGAGGGTAACACATATGTTCCTCTGATAATATAAATAATATAAATAAAAATATAATAAATATAATAAATAATTTAATTAATAATAATTTATTATATAAAAATGTTAGTTCTCTCTTTTCACTCTATTATTTATTTATTTATTTATGTGTCTTCTTTTTCTTTTTCTCAACATCATTTATTTATTTATTTATTTATTTTTAGTTTGCTCTAAATCAATCTTTTAAAATGCAAAACTAAATATCATAAAATTTGACTTCGAAAAAGCGCGGTAACAATCGAATAAAGTCAAATCATTAGTATAACGAAAGGTTCCGTGATACATCAATCGTTTAATAATTAATTTAAAATAAAATATATATACCTCTATAATTTGAAATTCCGCGTGTATATGTAGTACGTAAAATATTTCGGCAGAGAATTATCAATAATATGATGTTTGGCCTTGGCGATATATATTTATTGAATCGTAATCATTTATTACTGCGAATAAAAATTGAAACATGGGATACATGAAAGGGGACAAAATACCCTCTGAGAGGGTAATATATTCATGAACATTGGCTTTGTAGTTCATGTCCACGTTTTCAATGTTCATAGAAAGAGTATCACTTTCACTTAAAAGCAAGCCATGACATCTCTCAGTCTTCTCTCTGGTGAGCAACTTTAATTTAATTCAATACAATTCTCATATAATAAATGAAAAAATTTTTTATCTATAAATAAAATCTGATATTGGCGAAATATATGTTTCGAAATAATAGATAAATATTTGCAGATAAATAATAGTATCTAATTTATAAATCTGATTCCCGAATTATAATTACAGAGCATCAGCATGAACGATTGTCGATGATTAAGTTTACCATGTTGTAGGAAATAGGTAATCTGAGATTTATAAGAAGGAAAACGTAAATAAAACATACATAAACCTTGTTAATATGATTGTAATGTATGTTACAAATCAACGTCTGTTTAAATATCATTCTCTTTTCTCGAATGTCAAATATGTAAATACATATTATATTGTCAAATTTTGATTTTAATAATTCGTTATATAGATGTTGTGAAAAACACTTGTCATATTGTAATTTTAATTTTACGTACATAATTAGAAACTATCTTGTTTTATTTGCTTTGTGAAAATTTATTTCTTTTTCTTAATAAATAAGTTTTTAAATAAAAGCATTGCAAAAGTTTATCTATTTTAGACATGTACAAAATTTAATTCAAACCAAGTGGAAAATAGATAATATTACTTTTTATATATCTTTATTAAATGGCAAAGACAAAAGAAAACATATGTTCATTAGACATGGAAAAAGACAATGATAATTCCATCAGTGCAGGTATATTCTTCTTTTAATTATTATATAAAGTATAATTTTAAAATAAATTTTATGTTTATCTAGAATTTATAATTATATACGATAATGTATTTATATGTATTTAATCACAAATTTATCATTAAATTTAATCAAACATTAAATTTAATTTGTAAATATGAAGATTTTTGTTGTATCATATTATAAAATTTTATATTATGACGGGATCTCTCTCTTATAACCAGCAAAAATGTTCATATATTAATACATTGAAATATACATACAGCGTTAATTATGCGAATAAAAAATTTTATTTAAAATATTTTTGATCATTTAGAGTTATCTAATCAAGAGGAAAGAGATAAACTGTTGGACGAGATCGCTATACTAAAAGCGCATGTCTCTCTGTTAGAAACCATGATTGAAACACCCAAATTCGGTCAATTGCAATTTGCAAAAATGTCATTGATGCATAGGAATGAAGTTGCAAGATTTCATGTACCGGACGTGCAAACGGAATTATGCGATGAACTTTATCGATTTGCGGGATTGCGATGTCGAGAATTCAATCGAAACTCGAGATACGTTTTTGAAATCACTGGCACCGAGCAAAACGGAAACGACACGAAGAACAATTTATATGCAATAGAAATAATGATAGACGAAAGCGGTTGCGGAAAATTAGGAAAGTGGGTGTTGCCTATGTCCGTCGATGTGCAAGAAATACTATCACAATATCCTATCGATAATTTAAATAATGTAAAACACTTTTTGAAAAGCTGCAAGCATCACGTTGATAGTTATCTTTGTCGTTTGAAGCAACTTAAAGAATTGCAGGTAATAAGAACTGTTAACATAGCAGAGATCAATTATTCTATTTATTAAATACTCATTTAATTCTTATTTGATATTTTTTAAATTTTTAAATTAATTTTTTAAAAATTTTATAACAATACCTTAAATATTATTTTTGTTATAATGACTATATCAGAATAGAAATGTTTCATGTTGTGCTTAATTATTGAGAAGTTATTTACAATTTCTTTTCTTAGGGTTTAATCTCAGATATTAAAAATATTCGCATATCTCACACTTTGGGCATTACTTTAATTGAATTGATAATATCAGGAATAAAATATGTTGATACTGATGAATTTTATAACGTTATGGTATATCTGTACTATAAATCTACTGCAGCAAGACCTTACAAATTATCCTCGGATACGGATAATGATGAAAGACAGTCGTCGATTCTAATTAAAAAATTGAACAAATATTTTAAACCTTTCTTGAAGAAAGATTTGAGCTTAGCTTTCCTGCAGATCTACGAATCGCAAACTATATTTGTATGGCAAAAAGTTATGGCAAACGATAATGAAGATATCACGGAAGTCTCCGATACATCAGATGACGGATTTTTAACGAAATTTCTATACCGAGGAGATAAGAAGAAAAGCAAAAATAAAGTACAAAATGAAGATTTTACTTTAGATGGAAATAAAACGGAAACTTCGCTTTACGTTGAAAAAGAGAAATATGAAGATATTGATGTCACAGATAATACAGCGAGAGATGATTCTTTGAGAAAAGATGGAAAAATTAAGTCACGTAAACGCAAAAGATTAGCGAAAACAGTAGCGAAGTCACGTGGCACGAAAAAATCACAGGCAGATTCAGAAAAGCTCAAAAAGAGAATATCTAGCACGAAAAAAGAAAATGATCAAAATAAAGCGGATATCGATTATCCTATTTCGAATGTTGCAAGTGGAATAAATTCTACTCTAGCGAGTACTGAAAACGTACAGATGGAAGATAATTATAATCGCAAGAATGGTTCGTTAAATAAAGCGACTAATAAAAACAAAGGAAACCGTAAAAGATCATTAAATGAATCAAATGATACAAATAATTCAGTAAACTTTCAAACAGTAAAGAAGAGGAAGCCTACTACTAATCAAGTTAAAGAGAAAAAGAAGTATATTTCAAAACTGAAGAATAATAAACGAGCCAAAGTAAAAACTAGTACTCCTTTTTCGAAAAAAGTACCCAAGTCCTATAGCTTTCACGAGATTTCTCCTATAAAGAAGGAAGACTAAAGATAACATTACTAAGAATTATTAAGAGTTACAAAAAATGATTAAAATTTTATTACATTAAAGGATATATATTTGTAGCTATAATTATGCATAAATTTGTATTAATATAATTTGGTAAGTGTGAGAAAATGTTTCATAATAAAAAATATATTTGAAAAATTATAGACTTTCTAATAAAATAAAAAATTATGTTTATAAAGAAATATTTCAATAATATTTTTAAATTTTATTGGCATTTTTTATTAATAAAATGGATTATAAAAATGGAAATAAAGTAAAGATAAAATAAAAATAAAATAAAGATTTAAAACTTAAAATATTTCAAATGTTCCTTCTTTTTTATATAAAATATAAATAATTCAAATGTTCAATAATTAGTGAATATTTTTATAGATTTTATAACAGCATTATACTTTGATATTTGATTTTGTTTTGATATTGATGCTCTATACATAATATAATGTACTAAATTATAAAGTAAAACATAATTATTAAATATTATTATTAGCAGGTTTTATGCAACTGCCAGCTGTTTTTTAATTTCTAAATTTCTAATCATTATACATTTCTAAATTTCTAATCACTCTGCATTCCTATCCGATATATTTTCTTCTTCGACCTCAGTGATTTGGCATGGAATGCTCCATATATATATATATATATATATATATATATATATATATGAGATATGTAAATAATATAAAATAAAAGGCGGAAAACTTTCACCTTAATAAGAGGTGTTTATTTATTTATTTATTTGTAAAGAAATATATATACTGTGAGATAAACACATTTTGGAGGACGTTACTGTTATATATTATTATATTAATTTAATTATTATATTATTATATTATATTAATTTATTATAATATTATATTAATTTAATATATTAATTTAAAACTATTATTACAATTATAATACTTCTAATTATGGATTAGACTATTTTCTAAACATGAACAATAGAAAGTAATATGCATTTTTTATCATGTCTATGATAAGAAATTATATAATATTCTACACGCGCTTATATTGTATTACAAGCTCAAGATATAAAAATAATACGTTCTGGTAATGTAAAGGAAAATTTTAAAACTTATCTTAAGAACATATATTTTCTTATTATAATAATGCAGATATTTTCTAATAGCTTAAGAACAACACATATGTAATCATTTATTAGCAATATTTTCATTATTGATATAATATTAGTAATCTGCAACGTTATAGAAAGTCCTCTTTTTTTAATTGACAAAATATAGTGGCCATAATTTTAGCCTGATCTATTTCAAATGACTCAAGTACAAAAAGAATGCCGCGTTCTAGTGATGTAGGAAAGAAAAAATTGTAAAACTTACGAAAGTTGATGAGAATATAATGATGATCTCATATCAGGTGTGTTCTGCGGGGGAGATTTTGCTGATATTGCTCAAACGACTATGGAATCCGTGAGCGACGGAAAGACAGACGCATTATACACAAATACATATAGCTGCGTCATCGGCTAGCGTATAATATCTCTTTTTATCAATTATTAATCTAAATTCTTCAGAAAATATCCAGGCAAAAATAAAATTTTTTTTCGTTAAGTTCTGAATAAATATAGCTTCATTATTATTATTAATATAACTATTAAAGTAATTATTATTAATATAACAATAATTAATATAACACAATAATTTATAACAATAATTAATATAACAATAATTTAAAATAATGAAAACAAATTTTTTCACAATTTTCTTATTTCCTATAATTTATAAAAAAATACACTAAATAAGATTATATTTGATTATATTTGTTTAAATTTTTATTTTTTGAAAAATCGACAGTGATTTATTTTCTTGATTACTTTTCAGTATTTCATTCAAATAATATGAAATGAAAAATAATATGAAATTAATAAATAAATTAATTAGATTCTATAATGTAACGATAAAATTTATAATTTAAAATAGATTAATTATAATAGCGTGCACTTTTTTATTATTTATTTTAAGCATATCTTACAATACTTTTATCTCGTATCTAAATCTTTTTATAGAACGCACCGCATTTTGATGAATATCAAAAATTGTGCGAACTAAAGATAGCCGAGTTGAAAATTAATTCAAATCCTTTGGATGAAGTCGTATCGATAACGAGATCAAAGACATATCGCATCGATACCTACTGTTAAGGACGTAATCAGCAAAGTATTAATACATATTAGCAGCTACAGAGAATTGAATAATAAAAAATAAGTAATTGCTTTGATCGATGATATACGTGAAATGAGAAATTATAATTATTCATCTAATGTTAAAATCTATCTCATGCACAATATATTGCTCTTCTTTTTACAATATATGCATAAATTGCGACAAATGTTACATGACTTGCTCAGATTCCGGATATCAGCCGATCGCTTTCGATGAGACGCACCAGATATACACTTTATCTGTCCATGTACACGATTATCGACTGCATCAAGTAAGTTTCAAATAATAAATAATAAAATGTTTTAATTTGTTTTTATTTTCTAAATTTTTATATATATATATATATATATATATATATATTCTTTAATTTTTTTAGTATGATTCCAAACACGATTCTACATATAATTAAAAGAAACGTACTGCGGTCGAAATTTGTTTATCACAATAACAATAGTTATAATATAACAATAGTTATAATATAACAATAGGTATAATATAACAATAGTTTACTCAATATTATTATCCAACGATTTTTATATTAACATAATTTGTTTATATAAAAGTTCTCGATTATTCAATAATTATTAACATGCTAACATCAACTTTTTAAAATTTATATCGTGTAATAATAGAATAAAATGATATGTAGTAACCATGTAATGTCATTATGCAATTATTGTTAGTAAACCATCTTGAATTAAATATATGATTAGCGTCATTAATAAAGGATTTAATCTAAACAATAGAATGTAAAAAAATGACTAATTCATTGCATTCAATAATATAATTCTGTTTTATTTAATTTACATACTTGTATGTATTACGATATACTATATATGGTGCTATATTGTTTTAGAATAAAATTTGTACAATATTGAAATGTTAACTGTGTATCAAGACTAACAAATTGCAAAAATGAGAAGATTAAAATTCTTATGTGCATGATTAAATATCCCCAAGAATCTTCCATTGATTTAATCAAATTCCAATCTTCTGTATTATAAGTAACTAAAACTTTAAACTGTCAACCCATTTGTACTTCGTGCAACAATTATTGCTATTGTTTATCCTAAAAAATTGATGTTTTGTGAAACTTAGTTTAGAATTTTTATATTATATTTTAAGATTCTAGTGCAAACATAGAAAAAAAATTAAAATAAGCTTTGTTCTAAAGATATTATTTTCATTATTATTGTTATTATTATTTATCTTTTTAATCTGTCTTACTGGCAATTTTTTGTTGGGCATGTACATTCGAAGCACTGCGGTTGCAATATATTGAAATACGTTTTTCCGATACTTTCAGAAGTTAGGGTAGAAACATTCTTCAAACAGTTGTAGAAATCATGATGGCAATGGCAAGCTGATCTGTTATAAAAAAAAATTACAAAAGTTTGACAAAAAAGAAATTAATAAGAAATTATTATTAAAGCTAACATGAACCAAACAAATCTATTATTTCGCAAAAAGGATGGTATATAAAATATATGATTTGATAACAGAACTTGTATGTGCATATGACTTGTACTTGCAATATGAATAAATATACATGTCATACATGAACTAAATTATTTAACATTTTTTTCAGATGTTAAATATGAATATTCAACACAACGAGTGTTTGTGAGAAATTATCTTGTTCATTCATTTACCTCGTAAAAATACCATTATTCTTGAGATTAGCCTTCGTTTATACTCAAGATAGTGTTATTGCAATGATCATGCATTCTGCAACAGGCATCCGTCTTGTTGAAAGAGCCAAGATCTGTATCGTTTTCGGCGATATTTCCACCACCGCACCAGAGGGTTCCTAAAACGAGCATCATCATTGCAAAATAAGAAAAGACACGCTGTATATATATATATATATATATATATATATATATATATATATATATATATATTATGGATTCGATAATCCTAAATATTTAACATATAGAGACTTAAGATATTCTATACTTTTGTATGTGTAAAGATTTAATAAAACATTCTTTATTTTTAATATTATAAAATGTGTTCTATATGGAATACGAGTTTCCATAAAGTCCTTTCCTCTAAAATGTTCGCTTTTAACATTTGCATTTTTTTCTGTAAATTGTCTTGAATTATGAAATGATTGAATTACCTGGAAAAATAACATTGATATCTAAATAATTACTAATTTTTTTGAAGACATTGCTGAAGAATCCTTCCATATCATTTTTCTCAAAGTTCTCAATGCCGTTAATAGCATCTGCCAGATTTTTTTCACCTATAGTTAAATGAGTTTCATTGAAACCAGGTGCACTTTCTGTGCAATCTATATTATTTTCTCTATTTTCACAATCACTGAATCGAACAGCAATGCCCAGAAAAAGTACGAATAGACAAACGTGACATTGTACTATAATTATAAATCTATTTATCTAAGACAAATAGTATTAGTGTCAGGATAATAAGAATGTTCTCTCAATAACGCGATGCACATAACTGATAAAATTTTTCCATATATATTTATGCAGAATTGAATATAATTATACAAAATTATACATAATTGTACAACAATTTATGTAATAATTATGTGCAATAATTTATGTATAATTATAAATACCAAAGTATAGGACATTATATATACATTTATATGAAAGTACAATAACTATTACATACAAGGTGTTTCAAAACACAAAATGAATCTTTCAAAGACAAATTCCTGGGATCATCTGAAGACGATTTTTCTTTAACGAAAATGTCGAGGCACTAATAATTTTCGAATTATAAGTGATTGGAAATAAGGAGTTTTTCGTAAACTAAGCTTTGTAGAAATAAAATATTAACAAAACCATTCTTCGATTAATTTTAAATAGAGTTTATTTTAGTTGAGTTTTAATTTAAGGCTTAATTGCAAAGATATATAATGACAAAAATCGGGAACATGCAAAAAATGATAGCCTTATCGACATTTTCGCTGAGGAAAAATCGTCTCCAAATGATCCCAGGAATCTGTCTTTGAAAGATTCATTATGAGTTTTGAGACACTCTGTATAATTATAATTCTCTGTATAATTATATTATGTAAATAGGCACTTTGCATTATTATATATAATGTTCACAATATTTTATGTATAATTATCTCCAGTTCAATGATCCGACGTACTTTTGAAACTGGCTGGACCTTTGCTGTCATAAAAATCTTCTCCTTGAATAAAGTACTTCAAATGATATATATTTTAATTTTAACTCTATTTTCTAATATTTCTTCTCAGTATCTCATCAGCAATGTGTCGCCGCGTATCACACAACGTCCCGTCATCAATAAGGACTTAAATAGAGTAGCTTCTTGAATATCGAATTGATATCCGAAAAAACTGCCGATTATTAGCGCTACAGTATTACGAAACTGGAGCAAGATTTTCCTTCAAAGATATTTATTTCTAATGTTGATAATTTATCGAGAGAATATATTTTGGTATAAAAAAAAGTATCCGAAAAAAATCCAATACAAATTTCAAACTAAATTGAAATTATAAATTTAAATATTGAGAGAACACTCTTGATAATTAAACATCATTCGCCAAAAATAAATAGCATTAAAATATAACGTTTTTGCTTTAAAGAAAGTGTTTTGTAATTAAATATTTAATAGATTTGCGGTATTATTCAGAATCAAGACGTCTGATAGACTCTGATAGATGATTATGTGATCGGCTTAAAAACTTTATTATTCTTGAAGAATTTAAAACAGATGAAGGACTGGGGTGATCAGAGATGATTACTTTAATAAATTTGAAACAGGTTTGCTCAATAATAAAATTACAAAACCACTCTACCACTCGCTCTATCGTGAATTTAAATTTTTCCTAATATAACCTTTCTCGAATGACATGTATATAAATATACGAACTGCTTTGTCACTCGCAATTTAGTTCGTCAAAATACATTGGCTGTATTATAAGTTTGTTTTTCACACATAAAAGATATCTATTATAGAGATTCATTTACATTGTGTAAATTGTGTTTAGTGAACAAAAGCACTGTAAATTCAATTTATTTTAAATGTTGGTTACATTACATTAAAAAATAACGTGGAAACTATATAGATACCACCTTCTTTACATATCTTTATTCAAAAAAGTCAAAAGGAACGAAAATCATGTCACTAAACATGGAGAAAAATAATGATAATCCTACTAAGAAAGGTATTTCTCTTTTATTTTTTTACTTAATTATATTAAATATAAACTTACGATAAAATCAATTTACGTATAATATAAAATTTAAATATAAAAAGTTAACTTATTATTTATTTTATCGTGTTAATATAAAATTAGTTGCTTAACAAAGTAGTTTGCAAAATTTTTAATTAACTATGACAACAATCAATAAATTTATGGACAAACATTTAGTTTAAATACTTTTCATAACATATAATGTGAATTGCGTCATTCTATTAAAAAATTTTATCTTTTTGTTATATATTTTTATATATTTTATTATATATTTTATTATATATTTAATATTTTTGATTATTTAGAATCTAACCGTGGGACAGATTTGTTAGACAATTTTGCATTGTTGAAAACATATGTTTCTCTATTAGAAAACATGATTCAAACTCCAAAACACAGTCAGTTACAATCTGTAGACAAGTCATTGAGCCAATTGTACAATAGCGAAATTGCAACTTTTCACGATAAATCAGATGTGGATATGGATTTCTTCCACGATTTCTACAAACTCACAGGAATACGATGTGTAAAATTGGAACGAAAATCGAGTTTTGTCTTTGAAATGTGTAGCAACAAAACCGACAAGAAGGAGAATTACATGGTTGAGATATTGATCGATGATCACGGTCGTGCACTGTTAGGAGATAGTAAATTGCCTGCACCCGTTAATGTGGAGGAAATATTATCAAAATATCCTATCGATGTGAGCAATATAACACGCTTTTTGAACTCCTGCAAGCACTACGTTGAGACTTACGTTTGCCGCAAGAAACAATTTACAGATTTGGAGGTGATAAAACTATCAATTTAAGAAAAATTTTTTTAATTTGCATTATTTTTTACAGTGTATATGTAATGCAAGTGCATATATTATATATACTTGTAAATAATAAATAATATGCAAAAATATTTACTTTTTAAAAACGCGATATTTTAAATTTATATTTCTATGATAGTTATAGTCTGCTTATTTATTAATAAATTTTATTGATCAAGTTATTAATCAAGTTATTTAAAAAAAATGTTTATTTTTCAGAATTTGCTTTTAGAGATTGCAGATGCTGAAGTGTATCACGACTATGAATTTACTTTAATTACTATAACAATACCAGGTATAATGTACATAAACACTGAACAAATTTATAAGATTGAGCTTGACTTATATTATAAACCTGATGAAATAAGACCTTACAAATTATCTTCCGCATGTAAAGAAGCATCATCACGTTTCCTTAAAAAATTGAACAAGTTCTTCAAACCTTTCCTTAGAGAAAATTTATGTTCGGCTTTGCTGCAAATCAATATATCAAATGCTGAAACAAATTTATTTTGGCAAAAGATTATGATAAATGATGATAGCGTCGAATCTTACGAAGTCGAATCGTCAATTGAACTTTTAAGAGGAATTTTCAAACCGTATCTTTATCGAAAAAATAAGGAATGAAGCAAAAGACAAGATTATAAGAGTTTTCATCCAAAAATGAGATAAAATAAAACAAAACTTTGCATCAAAGAAAAGAAGCACGATACTCATCATAGAAGATTCAAAAATTGATATATTTTAGAAGAGAATGCAAAAATAATATCATGCATGCAAATAAATAATAAAATCAATAGAAGACCAATAACACGAGTAAAAGTCACAAATTAATTTAAAAGGAGTCTGACGTGAAAAATATGTAAATAAAAGAGATAAAAATATATAGTAAAGATAAAAATATATAATATAGATAAAAAACGGATATCAAGAATAAAAATAAAGAAAAATTGCTGAATGAGTCAAATAATAAAAATGGCGAGCTTTTAGCAAAAATTCTTTTCTTAGTTAAAAGAAAAAAGAATAAATTATATAAATTGAAGAAAGAGAAACACATGCACAGAAGAAAAATTAAATTGAATAAGTTAAAATTTAAATAAAAAAAAACGCAAGTAAATAAAAAGTATATTGTATACAGAATATCTCTTATAATTCGAAAAATTTAATTTTCGTCTCCATTTGAATTAAAAAAAATATTATTTAAATTATGTTTGCAAATTGTGATATATTTTATGCAGTTCTTTTACGACTAGATTATCTAATAAGCGAGATTTTATTTGTAATAAAATAGTATAACCAAATATGTGATTATAAAAATTATAATTACGAAATTGTGTAATATTATATTTCTTGTTTAATTAATATTTTTAATTCTATTAAATCTATCTTATGCCATAAATATAAATTGTATCAGAAGAGTAATAAAGTTTTATCAATGCAATCCTATATAATTAGTTTCTCTACATATTTGGCTATTAATACTACGTATTTAAAAAAGTAACATATTTAAAAGAAAATTATATTAAATATATTAAATACATGGAAATTTGTTTGGTAACAAAAAAGTATAAGTAATTTACATTGATCGTTAAATTTTATTTTTATATGTAGTATACTTAATTTAGAAATGTAAATATTCATAGTTAATTTCTCTCACAAGGTTTCTCACTAAAGCAATGAAATGCTTCATCAACAATTGATAACAAATAAATGTATAATCTATATATATATATATACATATATATATATATATATATATATATATAGAGAGAGAGAGAGAGAGAGAGAGAGAGAGTAAATCTCATTTTATGTAAAAAGGAGATTTATCGTATTTTATTGTAAATTTGTTTAAAGTCTTACCGTAATTGTTGAATCAGACATTTAATTCCAAATGAATATTCAATAGCAATCTTACCGCTTCGAAAGACTATTATAAACTGATGGTACTGTGTGTCGGCATACCTAGTAAATATAATACAAGATACATTGTGTGTCTGTTTGTGTGTGTTATGTAAATATTTTGCACATTTCTTGATCTCATATATGTATATAAGATAGAAATAATTTATTCATCGATAAAAATCATCGTATATACTATATATATGTATAAGAAAATTATTCTGTATTTTATATTATATCTTTTTTAGAGAATTCAAGAATTTAATACAAAGATTAAGAGTAAAATAAAGAAGAATTGTCCATATCATATTATAAGAGTTGTCATTAAAATATCCGTATCATTAAAATATTTTACATTATATTTCCTATTTGGCACTAATTTGTATGCAAATTAATATATTTGATTATTTAATTGCTATAGAAGTTGAAGATCAATTTTTTTACATAAAACATTATACACACACACACACATACACACACACACACACAAACTTAATTTTTCAATTTTTTCATTTTTATCAAAATATATAACATTTATATTAACCTAAATATACAAAATTTTACTTTTCAATTTATATTTAAGGATAAATTTTATATATATCAGATAAAAATTAATTTATTTATGATAAATCATCCATTTAAAATAAGCTTGAAATGACAAAAAAATAAAAACCAAATTTCAATTGTTGTTTGAATTATTAGTATTAATGTAAGTTAATTGCAGGAATGTATTATAATACGTAAAACATCTTTATTTCTTATTTTTATTACGTCGCGTATTTTCTAATATCACCTCTTTGTGACATGTACATAAATACAAACTTCTATATACATAAATACAACTTTATCGAATCTAGAACATTTCTCATATTCGCAGTTTAATATCTGTTAAGATACGTGCAAACACACGCTGATATTAATTTATTTTTCTTACATGTATATAATAAAAAGATAATTACCACAGAGATTCATTTACATTATATAGATTGTGTTTAGTAAAAGAGCATTGTTAATTCAAGTTGTTTATTTTAGACATTCAAATTGCAAATTACTATCATTACATATGGAGAAGGACAATGATAATTCTATTAAAGGTATTACTTTTTTCCTCTCTCTTTTTTTTCTCTCTTTCTCTCTCACATTGATTATTATATATAAATTTACGATAAGTTTAATGTTTTAATAAAACTTTTATGTAATTAAAAATTAATATAATTATTATGTTTGCGTTTGTATAAAATTATTTGTTTAATATTACGAAATGTTACAAAAAATATTTAATCAATTACGACAATAATCAACAATTTATGTAATTCGACATTCGATTTAATTTATTTATTTTCTATGTAGCTAAAAACGTTTTTGTTTCATTATTATTATTAGAGAATTTTATTGCATATTAAAATAAGATTTTAAAATGTTTGGTTGTTGTACTTAATATATTATAATGTACAATTTCATCTAAACAAAAAATTTATCAATATAATATTATCAAATATTTCTGTTTATTTAGAGTTGTCTGATGGCGAAGAGAACAATCTCGTTAAAAAGATCGCAATGTTAAAAGGATCTATTTCTTTGCTAGAGAATATAATTCAAAATCCAAGTTTGGCAAAAAAATCATCGTCGCACAATTGTGAGACATTTCACAACATTCCGAATATGCAGATGGAATTGTTATGTGACTTTCATCTCACAGGAATGCGCTGCACGAAGTTTGAACGAAAATCAAGTTTCGTTTTTGATATGTGTAGCAAAGAAAACACGGAAAATGATTCGTATATGGTAGAAATATTGATAAACAATAACGGCCATGCAAACTTAAGAGAGTCAGTGTTGCCTACATCTGTCGATGTACAAGAAATATTATCACAATATCCCATCGATAATATGAATAACGTGAAACACTTTTTGAATAAATGCAAGCACCATGTAGATTGCTATAATTCCCGTGTAAAACAATTTAAAAATTTGCAGGTTATTAGAAAATAATCATCAGCATAAGAAATGAAATGTTTATAATTTTGAATATTATTTTTAAAATATAATGTAAAATATAATATAAAATATTAAAATAGTTATGAATATTTATGAATTGATACTAAATAATAAATATATAATAACAGTAATAATAAATTAATAATAATATAAAATTATTAATTTATTATATTATTATATTATATATATTTATTATTCATCATTTACAAGTATTATAAACATTATTAAAAATAATATTTAAAATAATAAATATTTCGTCTCTAAATGAATAAATAAGAAATATAATAAATAATAATAATAATAATATAACAAATTAAATACTTTTATTGTTTCAGAAGTACAATATTTTAAAAATATTATATTTATTAGAATAGTTATATATTAGAGTATAATTGCTTTACGATCCGCTTATTTATTATAAATTAATATAATCTAACTATTAATAAACTTTTTTTCAGAATTTAGTTTCAGGAAATGCGAACATTAAGCTGGACAACACCAATGATTATAATATGATTTATATAAGGATGTCATGTATAAAAAATCTGTACAATAACCAATCTAATGTAGTAATGTTATGCTTGGAATATAAATCGGATGATATAAGACCTTATAAATTATCTTCTCATACGGAAGAAGAACAAATTCCATCACCACGTCTACTTAGAAGATTGAACAAGTTTTTCGAACCCTTTTTGAAGCTAAATCTATGTTCAGCATTGCTGCATATTAATACATTTACTAGTGAATATGGTTTAGCTTGGATAAATACTATGACAAAAGAATATGATGATATAGAAACTTACGAGGAAGAGTCAAAAGAAGTAATTGACGGAGCTTTTAGGTCTTATCTTTTTCGATGTAATAAGCAGGAAATAAGCAAAAATGAAAAAGAAGTTCAGACGGATATTTTACATAAAAATGCAACACATACAGAAACTTCGGTTTGCATTCAAAAAAAGGAGTTTAATAATGTTAGTATCATGCAGGATGAGAATGAGATAATATAAAGAAAATAAGAAGAAATAGTATTTCGAAAGGAGACAAAGAAGAAATGTATTGTGAAAATGTAAAGAGTCAGCGAAATAACAATAAATTATCGCATAATGCGAAAAAATAGCAAGTTAACTTAAATAAATCTGAAAGGAAAATTATATTATCAAATATAAAAGCATATTAACAATTTTAAATGATGCAATTACGTAACAAATATTATTGTAATAAAATGTCAAAAAGATAAATTATATGAGAATATTATTAATAGAAATCAAAAATAATTAATAAATAAGAAAAAAATAATTCTCAAAAAATCTAATAAAAATGATGCGATACAAAAACAAAGTTATTTAATAAATCCAATAATAAAATGGCAAGGTTTAAATAATTTAAAAAATATATATTGTTTCTGTAAAATAATTATTAGTTTTATATTATTTTTAATGTATTATTATATTTTTAATGTATTAGTTTTATATTATTTTTAATGTATTATATGTATATAATTCATATTTTAATTCATGCTTTTTTCTTCCATAAATCTCGAGAGATCTGTTGGCGATGTTTATCGTGTTTGAGTTAAATTACCAAGCGCATTTGCTATTTTTTCCGTTGATCTATCATGTTGATCTATTATTCTCTTTCTATCTCTTCTCTTATTTATTTCTATTTGTATTTTATTTGTTTTATTTAATACCAAATGTATGTATTTACATATAATATACAAAAAACTAATAAGCTAAATCATAAAATTGTCAACAGATAAATAGTGTTTTCTATTTTATCCATTCTTTGTTATCCATTAATTATCCTCTTTTGTTTCATATAAAACTCGAAAAATAACGATTTTTATAAAGAAATTTCATTTATTTTTCTTGTTACCAAAATAAATTGCAAGATATCGGAGACATCAATGAATAAACAAATAATCAGTTTATTCTCGCGATCTAATAGAATTGTGCTACAATATTTATAATATTCGGTAATTGATTTTCATATTATGCACTTATTCACATACATTTCTTCCACATAATGCTTCAGAAAAAGATACGACAAAGTTTTAATGAATAATATATCTGAAGTATTACAATATCTTTTACGAATCATTTATATATGTATGAGTATAAATACTAAAATTTTTTTTTGTTCACGTTAAGTATTTAATTCAATAGTCCACGCAAATTGTTGAGAACTACAGAATTTGGGATATACCGTCAGACATGTGTCAAATATTATTCATTACAAATGCAAAAGCATAAACACAAGTGCAAATATAATTAAATAATATTTTTGCAGACCTATTCTGTATAAAGCAAAATATCCAAAATAATTGATTGTAAAATTAATTATTGTGCGCAATCAATTTTTTATTGGTTTTTCAAACAGTTATTTAAGATTGATAAAAATTGCATATATAATTGCCGAAATTAATTATATAAAATTTCAAAATTATTCTTTCGAATAGTGAAAAAATAAAAACATAATACGATATACTTTGAGGGTAAATATATTTTTTAATGAGATTGCAGTGAAGCAAGATGCGTTCTGTTTAATACGAACTTTTTAAAAAATAAAGACATTTTCTCACTTACCATCTTTTATGTTTCTTGATATCCTTACATCATATTTGACGATGTATTATCATCTCAGAAAATAGATAGGAAAAAAATACAAAATAAAGAAAGAAGAATAATACGTTATATATATATATATATATATATATATATATATATATATATATATATATGTTGTTATATCAAAGTAATTATAAATTTGACTCAATTCGACATATAATAGTTTATATTTATTCACTAAATTAAAAAAGAATTCAACGAAGAAATTTAAAATTTTATGTGTCTAATAATATAAATATTTATAATATATATAAAATATATATATATATTTAATTTATATTATAAAATATTTATAATATAAAATATATATATTTGTAAAAGTATGCATAACATATATATATATATATATATATATATATATATATATATATATAAAAGTATGCATAACATTCTTTGCGAGATAATTTGGCAAGGACTAAAAATATCGTAATCACGTATGAATAAATCTTTGTGTGTGTACGTGTATGTATGTATGTATGTATGCGTGCAAATCGTGAAAATCAACGATCGTACGATTAAAATCGAGCATTTCGTACAAGCGTTTTTTAAAAACGCGCACAAACAAAACATTTTCAAAACGCAGAGTGTTATAATTTTATATTAATTTCATTTTTTTTCATATATATATAATATAATATAATAAAAATAATATAATAATATTACAATAATATAATTACAAATAATTATTTGTATCCATTAAATTCTATTTTATTTCACTAGATTTTTTTTTAATAATGTCCTTCGCGTGTCCTTCAGCTTTCAATAGCAACTGTTAAAAAAAAGCACGGACAACGGTCATAATGCTCAATCTACTCGATTTTATCACAGGAGCCCGTCTCCGACTGCCATTCTCTCGCATCACTTTGACACTTTGTTGGAAATTAATATATAATATGCTACGCGAACGATACGACAAAATGGCAAATAACGAACGAACTATCAAAAAACACAATGATATAAGTCATATTTTTAGAAAAGAAAACCCAAGAATATTTGAAATGTAAAATATGATATAAAATCACAATTAGAAGATTTTCTTTTATACATATATGCAAAAAAAGAATTACGTTTTACATTGTTATATCAAAGTAATTATAAATTTGATTCAATTCGACACATAATGATTTACATTTATTCACTAAATTAAAAAAGAATTCAACGAAGAAATTTAAAATTTTATGTATCTAATAATATAAATATTTATAATATATATAAAATATTATATATATATATATATATATATATATATATATATTTAATTTATAATAATATAAAATATTTATAAACAATGATTACATTCTGTGTTATCATTCTCTGTGTGTATTGATTTGTATCATTATTTCTTTCGACAGTTCGTACAAAGTTCGACAAACGCACATTCGACAAATATCCAATATAACATAATTTTGGAAAGAAAAGTTTTTCTTTTTTTATAACTATACTTTCTATATCTTTCTACACAATTTTCTTCCTTTTTTTCTATAAAGTTCGACGCATGTACATATATTTCATTTCGAACGCATAAAGTATAAGCGTCGCATTCTTATCACACTCTTCTTATCGCCACTTTCTTTATTTACATCTTATACCGCAACGACCTTTTATTTTTCTTCCATACTATTAATTATTACGTAAATTAATATTAAATTAATATTATAGTGTTACGGCTCGGTTTCGCACATTGACATCTAAATAGATAAACGAAGCATTAGCTATTGATGAAGACGAGGGGGGCTTTAATATTCGCGATAAGGAGGAACTCCATGAACTTCGATTGAATTCGGTTCCCGATAATGATCGATTAATAATTTGACTCCAATTATTGACATCAAAATTTAGCTCACATGTATTGTGTGTTGTGTTGTGATTAATATCATATTATTTTTATATTTATATTATTTTTAAATTTATATATATTATTTAATATTATTTAATATATTATATATATATATATAAAATATATTATTTAATATTATTTTTATATTACTTTTATATTTAGCGGCATTAGCGATTTTCTCTAAATAAACACTCTTCAAGCATTTCTGTGAAAATCTAGTTGAAAATCGATAATGTCAATGGAATTGTCATGTAATGTCAAATTGTGCCGAATATAGTCGAACATTAATGGAAATAACCGAAGTTCATGCACTCCCCTCTTACTGCATTTATCAATTACCCCTCTCAAAAGGCTCCGTCTATTTAGATGTCAATGGTTTCGCAATAACTTCAGATGTATTTTCTTCGGAATCCTCTCAGGCCGTTATTTTCGTCATTTGTTATTTCCATTTGATTGCATGTTATTCCACAGTAAAAGGATCATGTTCATCGTCGACGAAATCGAGTGCCGAGAACACTGTTAATAAATCTCCTGTACAACGTGAGCCAAGTTGAATCCTCATTTGGATTTATGGAATCGCCGCAATTCTCTTATTTCTCCTTTTTTATAACTTTTAAGCTAATAAAATAATATATTAATAGATTGCATTTCGACACTAACGTAAAATGAAAGTTAAATTATCGCACTTAGCGTTAAAATTTTCTGTTTTAAATAACAAATCGCAGCTTTTTCTAAAAATCCATTCGTGACAGCAAGCCATCGCAAGAAAGGATTCTGATGTTTCAGGCTTCCTGTCACATATCCAGAATACGCGCATATTCGAGATCCTGAATGGATTGTATAACGAACACTATTAAATATTCAGTTCCGCTCGTATACATATTTCGCTCGGATCGTCTTACGTATATCGGGTGTATTTAATCAAACATCTCTGCCGCACTATTGTATACAGCGAAATCGTCGCGATTGTCAGTGCACGAGTTTACATTGCTTCTGGATTATGCTCGTCTAGAGATTATCGATGCAATGATTGATAAGCAATCGCATTCTGATCGACAATCTCATCTTTGACTTTACGATTTGGTTAGTAGTACTTGTCACGTCTCTCAAGCCTAAAACAGACAAACGGGAATAATATCACGGTATTATGAGACGAGTAAAAAGGATGAGAAAAGTGAAAAAGGTCCAAAGCTGGCAGTAATATTCTTGATAAGGTCAAGAGATAGTATATATCTAAGGACTTTTGAAAGATCTGATACAATCGGGAATTATGTCTCCGTCGTGATAATTTGTCTATTCACGAGTCTTTGTCGTGATAATTTGTCTATTTGCATTATTGATAATATATTTGTGTTTAAAACTTGCATTATTGATAATATATTTGTGTTTAAAACTTTCTTCAGTTGGCAGTAGAATTCTGATCAAAACAGTAGAGATTTAAAAAGATTCAGTCTTAGACTGAGACGTTATTCTATCGCCAATCATTATTTATTTATTCAAAAAGCTCAAATTTTGGAGCAATTCTGGCAATAAAAGTCTAATATAATGTATATCTAAAAATCGAAAAAGATGCATAATGACGGAACGCCATTTTTACAATAAACATATTATATATATAATATCTTATTATACAATAAAAAATTGTATTATACAATATCATCACTTGTATTTTACGCTTGCATAAAAGAAATTTCTTTCTAAAAAAAATCCCACAGAAATAAAAATCCTTTTGCATTGAAATATTATCATTCAAGATACAAGTTCGGAAGTACATTCCTATTTCAAGTTTCGCAACACGCTATAAAAAAACATCTATTTTCCTCAGACGAGAAAGAGATTGATGAAAAGAGATAAAATTATGAAGTGTTGTTGATTGAATCGTTCAGTTCGCGGGCCGTACAATCGTTATCGTGGTTCTAAACATTTGGACCACTATCAGTTTTATTTATCATCGTCATGATGGGATAAAAGCTGTTGTAAGAATTTAGTAAAATCCATTATCTCATTAAATGTACATACAATGTCTTTCATCCAAACAACAAGTAGCTGATCTTTTTTATTTTTGCCCGTATAAAACGAGCGAAAAGCTATGGCCACGCAAATTCGTATACTCCGTGCTAGGTCGATTGACTAACGATTTCGATACTCGCTGAATCGATACACATATTCGGTCATATTTAGCAAATATTGAAATTGATGGTCCAGAAATGGACCAAAGGATGCTCTGTTCGCAAAATATCCTCGACTTCTAAGAACAAGAAGATTCAGAGGACATCACTATGCGCGATTCAAGTCTATCGAGAGTACTTTTCCATCTCTATCAATCTCGCGATCGAGATTGCAGTTCGCAATCGGGCAATATTTACACTGGGCTAGGCTCAGAATCGTAAAGTCCACACGATCACAGAAAGTCATTGAGGCAACCGCCGAACCACATCACTACTATCGGTACCAGGTACGTCGTCAGTGCCCTGGACAACGACATCTTTTGCCTACTGGCACCGCTACTATTGTCCACAACGGTGGTCTGATTGTTATCCGCGCCCGTGCTGCTCGTACCCGTACCCTTGTGCAGCTCAATATCCACTCCCGGCGGCGTCTCGACCTCGTGAACAACCGGTGGAGACGGCTGTTTTGGAGACGGCGATTCCGGCTCCGATTCCACATGTGACGGCTCGTAACCAGAACCTTCTTTGAAACCATCTTCGTCATCGGTGAACGCACCGTCGCCAGAACCGCTGCCAGAACCGTACCACGTTTCCTCTGTCAAATCAAGTTAATAGAAATTATCATTAATATAAATAAAAAAATGAGATTAATATAAATAAAAAATATTATTTTTTAAGACACACAGATAGCTTTGCGATATCTAAGATTCGTTGATATATTATCATTGCCATATAGTCACCTGTGTCGATCCAATTGACGTCTTGCCCGTTGAACGCTGATCTCAATCTATTTGTGATAGTAGTAAGCGCGAAAATTTGATCTTTTACGATAGTCGATCTTGACGCTATAGTGCGCACTTCTGGGTTCGTCGCTTGAATTTCGCCATCCGAGGACACTGGATATTTATATCTGGAAGAATCATAATCTTGTAAAAATAGAAAATATTATGCAATCATTCAAATTATACATATATACATACATACACACACATATATAATATTTATTTATCATATATATACAGTACATATTTAAAATATATATGTAAAATGTAGAAAACTAAATCATATAAATTGTTTATAATATTACGAAATCTGCTATAATCGTGCATTGCTAAATTTATTATACATGTATAATTTTGTTCAAGCATACTTGTCTACGTGTGTGCCGTTCCAACAATTGTTTGTGTTACTAGGCGATACAATCAGACCATCGTTACACAACCGATAGGGCAAATAAACCCAAAATTGTTTGAGATCGCGCACTCGCTGGCGTATCTCCTTCACCAATTTGTCTAGGACTCCCCCAGTAGAAGGATTGTGATGTTCCGTTGTCTCCTGTTCAAAGTTCAAAGATTCCAGCTCCAGCTCGCGATTGTCTCTACGTCTACGTCTACCTAGCATCGGTCGGCCACAACCAGTGAACACACGTTGCGACACGTCGTGGCTGTTCTCTTGGAAGTTCATGATTGCCTCAGAGATCTTCAGATTGATCGGACTGACCAATACCTCGATGTTGAATGGGCCCAGCAATCGATCAGCGACCTTGTCCACAGCCTCTGGAATTTTGGAATGACAATAAACAATTAGAATTTGATATTGCTTCGTTCGCGAAGTACAAGAAAAAACGAAAAAAATAGGATCGCGCGCGTGATGCTTCTTTTGAAAAAAAGTTTCTTCTATTTCCTTAGCTTTCATAACATAGTTTAAGATGTAAAACGTGTTATTAATATTTTTATCGTGTCACCTTTACAAATAATATTTTCTAAATAAAAGTCTCAAGAGACGTGAACACGACGTACTCGTCTACAGAAAAAGAGATCTCGAGGATACGCAAACACGTTGCGCATACACACATTGCGATAATCCGTATCCTCTCGAGATATAATAGCCGATAGTTTGAGAGAAAAGAGAGGAGGAGATCGAGGCTAAATTGCTCACCGACGAAGTGATTCCATTCAGTGTCGAGTGCCGCGTGTTGCGCCAAGCAACCCTTCATCGCATTCGTGCACATGTCGCCGCATGCCAGCACGTTGTCCGATATACCGCTACAGGATGGACAGACTGTCATCCTGGTCAGGGCAGCTGCGCAATCCGGCGATGGTTTCAGCTGCAAATGAAGAATCCGTTTTAGAATTTGCAGTTGCGATTACGTGAGGTAATGACGTAAGAGCCGCAAGAAGCATTCAGAGAAATTTAAAGTAGGACAGAATAAAAAAGGACGAATAAAACAGATAAATATTTATTAAACTATTTAATTGGCTTATATAATTATATATTTTTTATTTAATTTTGATTATATAATGAATTCAAGATTTTTAATCACATGTAAAGTAAGTGAAACATTATATCAAATAAATCTACATCAATTTTCTTGAAAAGGGTCTTGGTGATTTACATTTCTTTTTATTAGATTATGGACTTAAATATCTACTAGATAATAAATATTATTTGAAAATTACTTGAATACTGCAAATTCGAATTAAATAGACTCGTCATTTTGACATTAATGTTTCGGCGAATCTCTTACCGTTTGCATATTTTTTAGCACGTTTGCAGCGACCGTTAGAGCTTGGCTGAAGGCTCTAGTGGCCACGAAGGATCGTTTGAGCTGCACGCCTAATTTCTGCGGCACATCTCCGAACGGTCGCATCTCTTTCATGTGGTCGCCTACGCACTCTAGATATTTATTGTCAAAGTTGTATTGGCTGTTGAGTACAGTGAACATTTTCTGATAGAGAGTGTTGAAGAAATTATCCATGGCATCATCGAGGTCCACCTGGAACATAAGATAATAATTTTAATCTTACATACATATACATTTTATTCTGAGAGAAATATTTAATAAGGATATTAAATCGTAATTAATCTGCTTTTAATTTAATTTAATTTTTTTAATTTAATTTAATTATAAAATTAACTCTAAGATTTAAATGCCATAAAATAAAACCATATTTTTTTCAAAAAAGAAAATACACATACAACTCTGAGAAGTACTAAATACATCAAATAAATGACGTATAAGTAGAATTGTAAATTGTTTCCCAATTTACAATTAAAATTTGATTCCGATATATGTAACTGCTATCATCAAATCACATCCCAATCGTTATTAATAATTTGATAATTCGATTATTCAGGGAGCGATTCGCGCTTTTTCCGTTTACTATTTATTCGGTCCTCGTAGCCTCAAATAAATTGGGCTGGACCCGATCATAATTCAGATTAATCGAAAGTCGACAACCGGAGACGCCAAGCCCGGTGGCTCAATGGAATATTAATGATTCCCAGCAATTATTCGCGCAATTAAAATACAAGAGTGTCTACTAAGAATTCGATTTCGCCGCCGTGATTTCGTATATCGAGAATAAGAGGAGAAAAAGAAAAAGGCAGAACAAATCGACTCAATATAATTTAATTTGCGGGTGTTCCCGTTCCAAACATACTTTTAACATTAGCATAGCACTTAATCTGATTACCTACATGTATTGCAATGAAATATAAATATTAAATTCATTCAAAATATTTAATATCGAAAGCAACCTACATAATAATTTCTTTTCTATAGAATATTATTCAACTACACAGTTTAACGAAAAAATACGAATAAGAATATTAGTCATTTCTCTTTTTTATATGTTTAAAAAAATTAATTTTATTCAATTAATTTTTTTCAATTGTAAAGTATGTGTTATGCAAAATTTTGAGAATATAAACATGCATGTGGTATGAAAAAAAATCGATTAGATAAATTATAATTAATTTTTACAGGGAAATCCGTAGAAATATTAATTTTGGAAAATCTCTTTCGACGATTTGTAAAATAAAAACAAGGCGATCCGTAACAGATTAATATTCGCGATAAATTTATTAGGGATATGCTGTGACAATAATGCAATCTATCTACGACCGACACTTGGTTCCATCGTGTTCCCAACGCGAAACAGGTATGAGTGAACGGCGCCAGTAGGTAATTTGAATGACAATCGACAAGGCAATTCGTCCTGATCGTCATCCTCCTCCAGTCTCTCTCCCTTTCAACGTCGCGCATTGATGAATAATAAATATAGACTACGTGTATCCTGTCTTAATCGACGCGTATAGTACTTATTAATTAAAAAGAAAGCAATGTTTCAAGGGTATATTTATTTCTCTTTATAACAGTCTCTCTTTATGTTTACGACTCCCTGTATTTGTATGTTTGAAAAAGAAAAAATATTCATAAAGACTCTATTTTCTCTTTCAAAGTTCCATGCGGTTTATGATGATACTTCAAATATATTTATGATGCCATGTGATGAATTGTACGTCTTTGTCACGTATAAATCATCAAATAACAATAAACTATTAATGAGAAACTTTCTTTCATTTCTTTTATGTTTTCTTTATCTCTTAAACCAGCGATACAATAGCGCGATTTTTCATGTCAAATGGAATGCGAAAATTTTTGCAAGCAACATGCTACAAATAAATGTCGATGCGTTGTACTGCTTATGTGTTAACGTATTGGTTCTCAATAAATACTTTATATTTTTATACCTTATTAATTATTTGCTATCCGGTGTTGTTATTTTCATTGCTTAACCTGGTATTCTGCTTCCTAATCAGGACTTTATATCTCGCGTTTGCTCCGGATTCTTCGTTCCTTTAATAACGCGCTTCCTGGTGCAACAACACGCAATCGTGTTTCCAAGTAAAATTATGTAAATTCCATCTCGATAGAGGAAGCATCCGCGTGTATGAGTCAAAAGAGAGCAGCGAGCTTATAAAATTCAATAAATTGTAGTGTAATTGTGGGAAATCTTCGACAAGTAGGTAGTAAATAGGTATATATATATATATATATATATATATATATATATATATATATATAACAATATCTATATCTACAAGAAGGTGTAATGGGACTCAAAGTCCAACGGTAGAATACTTTCACTTGGCTGATGGTCCCTTTAGAGACAACGGCTATGGTGGACAAAGACTTTGATTAAACCCGTCTTCGTATGCGAGTCCACCTCAATTTTCGGTAACGCAAGCCAAACGTTGTGGGACATGGAATTGCTTGTGCAGCGATTCTAATAGAAACTTTCGAGTTCGAAAAGGATGAAATAAAGGTGCATATCCAATGCAAATTGTTACAGTTATTCTCGATTGCTCGAAACGATGTTTCACGAAAAATTCAATTCTACCATAAAAATAGTCATTTCAAAAGAGAAAAGTTGGGACCTTCAAATTTTCTTCATGCTTACAGCCAGAACGAAACTAACGTCCTATGCATCTCGAAGATGACCTTCTTCTAACTAGATCTTTTTCTATTATTTAAAATAGCAGAGAGAGATTTCGAAATAAAATAAGGGGAAACTTATTTTATATATATAATTATATTATTTTAGAAGATTAACTTTTTTCTTTGCAAATTTTTTTCATATTTTAAATAATTTCGAAATTATAATTTGTTTGAAATTCTTAAATTAGAAAATAATTAAAAGATATCAAAGAATACATAACAGATTGCTTACATTAAAAATATTTTTTTGCGTAAATGCTACATAATGCTACTTTACACAGATATATATTTTATAAATATATATCTTCGAAAAATATATTGAGTTCCTATACACTTCACGTTTCCCAACATCTTATGTTTCTTACTTAATACCCCGAGAAGGTGTCGTCGAGCGTAATTGCCCGGAACGGCTTGTAATAAACTTTAGATCCCAGAACACGCCTTGGTAGCTCTAGAAATTTTCTTCATGGCCCGGCATCTTATTTATTCGCGCTTAATACACCAGACGAAGACGAAGGGTAAAGAAGGGTGGAAGATGGCGAGGAAATTAACGCGCGATTGCAATTTTCACCGGTGTTGTACGGCGGCACTATGCGACATCAAACGAGAAGTAAATGAATTGCTTAACGTTAGAAAGACGTGACTCCGCGAAACCAAATTTTCGAAAAATAAAAGGGGCTCCGTTTAGAAATGCGAAACTTGTTTTGAACAGCAAAACGCAGACGAAATATATTGCAAATACCGTTTTAATATAAATTAAATAAAATTACAATTAAAGTACAATTAAAATAAAATTTTGTATTGAATTATGTTCTTTTGTTTAACTTTGTAAAATTCAAATTTTTTTAAAAAAGAAAAAAGAAAGAGGGATGCTCACCGTTCCTCTTGCATAGTAATTTTCCAGCTCGTTGAAGAAGTCTGTGAAGACATACGCGTTCTGTTCGTAAAGGATGCCGTAGGTCTTCTTGAACATTTCATGAAAGCCTCGTTTGCTGCCTGTCACTAGATCCTTGAAAAAACCTGCAAAAAAGAACATATGTAACATAATTCTGCTTATGTATATATATTCTCGCCAAATTTTTTTGAATATTTCGATAATATTCTTCTAAAGTCACTATTAATATTATTTATAATATATATATAATTTTATATATTTATTATCTCTTAAATTAGATCATTTTTTTATTACATTTTTAATAACGTTTTATTAGTAATATAATTCGTATATTAAGAAGCAAAAGGATCTCCGTGAAAACCTTGAAATGGTTTATCACGACGGAAGTTTCCCGGCGCTTTGACGCCTTTCTCGATAGAAAATCACGACTGAGCGCGAAATGGGAAATTAGTCGAGATTTCAGGGTGCGAATGAGGGTGAGACGGAGATAAGGTGGTCGTATCGCGAATTAAAAGCTTGACGAACGGCAACTACTCGTTTTTCTCTTTCTCTCTTTCTCGACGTCGATTGCGTCTGTGCTTTTTACAACACTCTTCCGACACGATGGCGGGTACAGGCGTCGCGGGGACTCGTGACAGAGAGAGAGCCGGGGGCTCGTCGCTAAAAGGAATTTTAATCACATTCCCCGCGGCTGAAGTGACGATAAGGAGATTCGTCGGTGGGCGAAGGAGACGATGGAATGAGGTGGATATAGGGTGGAAAAACGCTGTTTATCTTGCTCTCGATGTACTTACACGCACTTTATTTCTGAAGAGTTTATGACTTTTTTCAGTCGCGAGACCGAATCGATAATGCTACCTCGTTGACGTGACATTTCGATAGCAATATGCAAATGTGACATTTAAATATCGATGGAATTTTATTATTAGATCATTGACACAGTTGTAGCTTGCAGAAATAATTTTTCAGCACAATAATATTTAGAGACAGATGAGGCAATAAATCGAAAAATATTAAATTACATCGCGACTTAAGATATGTATGTGTATTCTTATACAATTAGAAAATTAAATTAAAATAAAACCTCGATATGAATGTAAATTAAAAGTATCATTTCCAAATAAAATATAATTTAAACGAAACATGCAACAATAAATTTAAAAATGATAAGAATTTTCATCTATATGTACGATCTCTAAGAATATATGTTAATTAAATATTTAATTCAAGGATCAAGATAAATTATGCGTGAATAAGGTCGATTTATTCCGATAAATTAACATTTTCTAACGACGACTTGATTAAAATCTTTATCACATTCTTTTAAAAATCTTTCTAAATCAATTTCCGTCAACATAAAGACGGCCATATAATGCCAGCAATTATAGCGTGAAAATTAGGACACGTTCTGGCTTTCAAGCATCTCCGGGTGTCTAATGATCCCGCTTAACAAAATTACCCGAAGGCTTCTCACCGGTCTTTCATCTTTTCCATTGGACATTGCTTTCAAGGCCGGAAAGCTCTTTGAGGTGCCATTACCTAAAACCAATACCTGAGTACGTTACTCACTTTAGAGGAGATCTTTACTTTACACATTACAAGCTATGCACTGTAACAAAATGTTTCATACGTATATTTGAATCTTATGATTCGAAAATTTCATTTAATCAAAAAAATTGATGCGATTCTTAATAATAATATTAATAAATTTTTCTAGATTTTAACTATCAATAAAATCTGCTCGTATAAAGTGTATTTTATATTAATTGGTCACATATTGCATCCTTTTACTCTATATAATAATTCATTAATTTTATCGGAGAGTATTGTATTATTTTTCTATTATTTCTTCATTAATTTTATGTACCATTTATTATGTATGCATAAAAAGAAAATTTTAACACAAATTTATTTAGAGTGTTAATGCTTTTTTATAGGTAGATTTACAATTTGCGAGTCTGTATGAACCTCTGAGACACGCGAATTCTTTATTTTCACGTCCAATATTAATTTTATAAATTATCTCATCACAAATAATGATTTTGACGGACAATAGCATTCCTAAATATCTTATTGCGCGAGACATTCTGCAAGGGAGAGAATGGTATGTTGAAGACAATGCGATTTTCTCCGTTCGCCGATATTCTAGACGTTGAACCGACGATAGGGAGGATTTCGCGGAAACTCCGTTAACTTATGCACCCAAGTTTCCACACAACGTCGCGATATGCCTTTCGTGACCGAAGCTAACAGTCCCGGCAATCGTCTCCCTCGGTTCTTATTTATTGTGTAGCCGGCGCCAGATACAGTCAAGATATTTTTTTTACAGTAATCTTACTTCTAACAATTTTACCTCTCTAAAGATTTATTAAATTTTATATTTTATTATTTTCTTATATTTTATTATTTTATATTTTATTATTTTCTTATATTTTATTATTTTATTACTTTTATGCTAAGATGTAGCATCATCAAAATGACTTAAACAAGAGATTGCGTTTTTTTAATAAAATATGACGTACACAAAAATAAGAAAAATTAAAATTAAATATTAATTATTTAAACGCACGAAGAAATTGCACATTTCGTTATACGTGATTGACGTCTCCGAAGAAATTCTCTCTGTTTCTCAAAGTTGTTTTGTACGCAGCTGACGCCTACGGCAATGGATAGTATTCGAAACGGCTTCAGAAGCAGAGGGGGAGAAAAGGGAAGGCTCGAATAATTACCGTTCTCAACACACACAGGCACTCCGAGGACATTCAAGTATTGCGTGAATTGTTAAAGCTACCTGTCGCACCGATGCTAATTACAACGGAGCACTAGCGTTCAACATCTGACTATTAATTGCACCGGAGCAAACGGTGGATTAGATGCAATCGTGTTTGTTTGCGGCTCACAAAGTTACAGATACATCCCAGATACGACCGTTCTTATCGTTATCGTGACATTTGAGAGTTACACGTGTCGATGGAAGAAAACCGCGTGAAATAAATAAAACGCAATTGATTTATGTATATAATGATATCTTAAATAAAAGAGGAAGAAACGCGCTATTAAAAGCAAACCGTAAATGAAATTAAGAGAAAAAATAAATAGTGACTTAGATGATATGAAAATGCGAATATCACGTGTATTTATTATTACTGTATTATTATGTGTATTCGTCATGCAAAGTCGGGCGAATCAAATATGTGAGGCTGGTGTTTATCTAAAAAAAATGTATGCAAATGCGAATATGCAGAAATACTTTGGAGATATCGTCGGAAGCAGAGAAAAAATAACGGATATTTTGATGAATCTCTCGCATTATTTTGCGCGATGGAAGACGCGTGACAGATTCCTCCAATAAATCGCCAAGTAACAAATCAATAAAGATTTTATTTGCGCGAGCTTTTATCCTCGGCTCTGATGGATTATCGGTAAAAAATATATACGAGATATTTCTCACATTTTTCTTCCTATCCGTGTACGTGGATTTTTTTGACGGATTTGTAATCGATATACCTTCGCAAAGAAAAAGTTGTTTTCAATTTTTAATATTTGTTTTGCAATTCTCAAATTTCTCTTCAATAGATTCTTTTAAAATAAATCTCGCGCTAAATAATGCACGTGTGTGTGTCATTATTTTCTCTTTTCGTATGACACAATCGAGTCGATACGCTCGCCCAACACAATGTGCATGAAGATGCCTCCTCGAGCGCGCACACAAGACAGCATCTGCATTAAGAGTCCGAGTATGGTCCTCGTGAGCCTCTCATCGATGCGGCCTGCGGTTCCTCTTTAATTAGAAAAAAACCTTGCGAGCTCACTTGGAACTCTCGGCCTGGAGAAACCCGCAAGCTCCAGCAAGAGGTCGTCAACATCCCGAGTGTCGAGCCATGAGCTGCCGTTATCCCTGAAATCTTTTTCCATCCCTCTGTTCATTGCTTCCGGCCCAATAAGCCCACTGTGAGAGATGTAAGACGGACGAAAGTTCGATCGAGTATTGTAGATTCGAGCACGTGGATTAAAAAGACACTGAATCCCCGGATGTTCACCAAGGATGATTCTTATCCTGTCGTTTAAACTTTGTAAGGGTGGCCGACAAGGATGGAAAGACACTCTCTGCAGCAATCGTACTTATTGTCACGCTTACCAAAAAATAAGATTGTAGTTTTGATAATTTTTATATTTTTTAAATATATTTATATATTTTGCATGAGCATAATAAACAATGTTTGTACTTTTTTTCTACAAAAGAAAAATATTCCGTTTCTTTCTCGCGATTTTAACTTCTTTCTCTCCTTTTCTGTGTATTCAAAACTCCATTTCGTAATCTTACATTGTTCTCGCGAAAGAGAAGCATTGCAATCTTTCGAAAGATTTCTCCGAATATACAAAACGAAGAATTCCTTCCTTTCCTTTCGTTCTTTCAGCTGATAGAAACTCGAATCTTTTACTACGAAATATTGACTTTACTTCCGGATCCTCAATGTACGAGCACAACGCGTTACTTTCGAATAAGTGGATTAAAGGGATTTGAATAAGGCGATTAAAAAGTTTCGTCCGTGTAACGCGAATAAAACTGGCGAGATGGAAAGTGGAAGAATAGTTTATACGTTGAAGTTTTCATCGGGGACACGAAGGAAGCTTGTTATCGCGAATATTAAATGTAAAATTTAATTTTCATCTCCATTATCCTAAAGATTTCTAAAGTCAAGGCAATAAATCACATATCTCATCGAATATCAACAATAATAATATTTTCCAGAATGATAATGTTCTTTCGTTCAACTCTGACTATTTTACAGTTCTTTAAATTCCTTTGACATTAACAGAGGATAGCTTCTTCCCTCTCTCTGCCTATTGATTTAGAATAAAGAAAAGAGGAAGAGAGAGAAAAGCTGTATTAATCGCATGAATCAATGTCACTGATATTGACGTGAATTATGATATTTTTATCGGGCATGACACTGTTGCATCGTGAATATCAACAATAATAACATTTTCCAGAATGATAATATTCTTTTGTTCAGCTCTGACTATTTTACAGTTCTTTAAATTCCTTTGACATTAACAGAGGATAGCTTTTTCCCTCTCTCTGTCTATTGATTTAGATTTAAAAAGAGAGGGAGAAAGAGAAAAGCATTAATCGCATGGATCAATGTCACTGATATTGACGTGAATCATGATATTTTCATTGGGCATGGCACTGCTGCATCGCGAGTTTCCCTTATCAACGAAATCGGAAAAAGACGATGTTACTCACTATGAAACCTGGTTCCCCGTGTTGCCAGCACCTGATGCATTCTCTTGAGAGTCTCCTTGGTCGCCTTCTCGTGCTTGTCACGTGCTCGTGCTTGCAATCTCAATTCCATGTCGGCAGAGCAGCACACTTCGCCACCGCTTCTCACGCTGCCGCATACTTTTAGCTCTTTCGCTATAAGCAGAAGAGACATGGATTAATTCAAAGTATTCTGAGATAGTATATCAAATGACGACATATTTGATAATATTATATATATTTCTATCTTTTACTTTGTCCAAATTTTATCAAATTCAGAAAATGACAATTGATGTATCTGTTGTAGCGTAATAAATATAAAGGAATAAGTAAATAATAAATAAATATTGTATGAATGAAACATTATAAATGACATATTTCTTAAAGATATGTAAATCACTCAGTTTCTTGTCTATGATTTAGAATTTAAAAAATAGTATTAATCGAATATTGAAAAAAGAAATACTTTATAAATTGCACGTGAAATTTTTATTTTTGTATCCATGAAATCATTGATTTCTCAATTATTAATTGAAATATTTTGAAAATATATACAATGACATGTATTAAAAGAAAAATATTTGCAAGTTGTTGATCGAGAATTTCAGATAAAAATGATTTGGGTCAGAGTATTCATGGTATGTATAATGCAAGGTACATACAATCTGTCCATTGAAAAAGAAAATAGGAAAAAAACTCGTTTTCGCATAAAAGCGAAACGTATTTTTAAAAATTTTTTCTTTCGTATTTAATAGTCCTTTTATAAAAGGACACATATTAAAAGTAATAAAACTATATAATAAAATTAGTAATTTCTTTCAATTCACCCTCTTATTTTTAAAAAATTGCTATTACAAAGTGTGAAAGTATAACTAAAATAAGATACTATAATTTAAAATAGTCTTGATATACAAGATGAATAAAAAAATGGTATCAATTCGATTGATTTATTGACGATAAATCACAAATAAATCGGCACGTTTATTACAAAGAGAAAGCAATTACGAGAGAAGAATTAATAAAGATATTGAGACATCTAAAAATTTTATCATTATTCGAGTCTATGGATAGATGAGAATCATCCTTGCAAAAATTTTACCCTGACAAAAAATTCCACGAAATATAGAAAATATCTAACGAGTTTGTCGTCTCTTTGTTTCGCGCGATTATCTCTCTCTCTTTTCGTAATTACAGTTTTCGGAACAGTCGGCACGAATAAACGCGCGTTCTTGCCGTTAAAATGAACCGCTCGATGAAAGAGAGGGTATTCGAAAACACTCTTGGCAAGATAAATTCGAAGGTGTCGCAGAGTTGTTTATTAAAGCGTGTGAATACAGCTCACGCGCTTTGGTTCGTAATCCCTCACATCTCGTGAAATAATTACCGATTTCATCGTCGCTTTAATCCTCTTAACCAAAAGGTACTGATGGCTCAAAAATCCGAACGAGAGCAATAATTGAATAATAATGATATTAAATCGTTATTATTCAATTATTCAATTTTATTACTATCTTTATTGCTATCATTTCCAAAATAATTTTCAATATATCATATAAATAGTTACACTGAGGAAAAAATTATCTTGAAATAAAAAAATTTTAGTTAACTCAAGAAAGCTATTTATTCGGTGGGTACTAACCACGTATTTACTTGTATTCAACACGTCTGTTTGTTTAAGTTAAGTATTTATTTACATATGTTTAAAAAAATATATATGCTTCAAAAAATATAATTTTTAATTAAATATTTTTATTTTAATTTTACAAAATATTTATTAAAATGCATTTTTATTCCCAAAAATTTTAAATTTTTTAATTTTAAAAAATAATATATTTAATTTAATAAATTATAGTATATATTTTACGAAAATAGTATTTAAATATAAAAAATATATAAATGAAAATAATGTACTTAATATAACATGCATATTTAATTAAAATTAAATGATTTTGCTTAAATGAAATAAACAATTTCTTCCATTTAAAGTAAAAGTTTCAAGAAAACAAATTTATTTGATTTAAAAAAAATTTTCCTTCAGTGTACGAAAAGCAATATTGATGTAATTTTACAGAACACCTAGTTCGACCGAAATCGCGGCTTTAAACGGCAACAATCGATGACGTCAAAGACGGCTGATCGGATCACTAAGAATCGTGTTTCAAGACGCACATAATTGAGTTAAATTCTGTAGTGAGACCAAACTTGAAATCACATATACGCGATACGGATTATTCGCGTGGTGGGTGAATTTCCCACGAGTCGCGGATAAACCAGTAAGACGCAGGAATCGACAAACTCCTTATGGGACTTGACTTTCCGCGAGAATGCCTTGCCTTGATAAAGTTCAATCCGTTCTAGAATAGCATACAATAAATACTTGTGCATGCATAAATGGAAGAATATTGTATTCGTGAAAAATATAATTTCAGAAAGTATAAATTAATTTTTTAAGAAAAAATATATTTTTTAAGAAATTATTTATATATATTTAATATTAATTATTAGATATATATTTTTATGAAAAAATATATAATTAATTAATTGCGTAGGCTTATATATAGGTAAAAGATTTTTAGCAAGCAAAATATTTAAATATAATAAAAACATTTAATATAATTTATACGAGTGACAAGTGAATCACGCATAATTGATGTAATGCGGCGTCTACAATGAGATTTTAAGAAAACTTAAAGCATAAGACTTAAGTCTCCTTAAAATCTAATTGTAGACGATGTATAACACGGATTATCTTTTTACGTGATTTAATCTTTTATTCGTATTCTGTTCTCGGAATAAATACCAATTAATTAATTAAGCGCAATGTAATTCGAAGCATAATTGACTGTAACATCCTTCGAGATTTTACCTTCAACGACAGAAAAGCAATACGAGACAACCGCATGTCCCGATCGGGTTACTCCGTTGCTGGATCAAAATTGGATTACTTTTCTCGTTAACTCTTCGCATAGATGGAGAGACGGAGAGGAGAGGAGGAGAAGGGAAGGAAGAGAGAAAAGAACGACACCGGGCAATCCCGCGGAAATGAATCGGGATTACTTTTACAACGTGTCTCAAAGTTCCCAATGAGCAAGGTATGGGGGGTTTGTCGGGATCGCGGAGGGAAGATGGCGGGTATAAAATTAGCTTAGACCGCGCGGTATTGGCGGATAAGCGATGTAGCTATAAAGACTGATAAAGACGATCGAGGGTAACGGCTGGTATTGAGTTTCGACGAAATCGTCTGAATCGATAGGTACGCGGTTTGTGTTCCGAACGATACCAAAAAGACCGACGATATTGGAAGGGGAGAGGGATAAGGAAGAGGGATTTACGTTACTCAGTCTTCTTTCTTCTTTATCGCAGCGAGAAGATAGGTGCGTGATTTCATCGATATTCCTCGAATAAATATCAAATTAATTTTTAAAAAATCGCAAGATAATAATTTACAATTGTCAGTTTTATCATTAAAGTGATAACTATATTTTGATTTAAAAAAAATGTAGGGCGAATCTTGAAACGCGCCTCCATCTCGGCCGCGAATATCCCAACCCGAGGAATCTAATATCCTTAATATCTCGTAATATCCTTAATTTCAGGGATCATGGCACCGAATAAAGCTACGAGAGTCGGGGAAGCTTCGTGAGAGTTCACGCGCCGCGGCTTTTACGTGCGCGATTAAGAGGCCTTGCAATATACAGACGCGATAAATCTCTCGTCGCGTCGAGCGGGGGCGTTAAAAGGGCAGGGTTGAAGACAGGGTGACGAGGGGGGCCGCCGGTTCGAAGGCTGTTAAAAGCGATCCCGAAGAGCTCGCGTAAAAGCTCCAGGCTGAGACGTAACAGGGCGCCGTTTGTTAGCGGCGTCGCGACGCCGGGATTACTGTCGCGACGTCCTCTTCGAGACGAGTGATCGCGAATTGGCGATCGCGTTTTTTCAGTTAGAAATTATTTATTAAAATATTTCCGAATATTTTAATCTCTATTGTTCCCGCATATCCGATTATAATTGATTATATTAATATCTGATTAGATCTAATTAAATTTCACTTGCTATTTTATAAGTTTATAAATAAAAAAGTGGAGCAATATATGCAAGACAGTTTTCTGCTACGTGAGATATCTTGTTGAAAGACCAATTTGCCAGTAAATACATATTTAGATCATACGCGAAAATTTTGACGTCCTGACCCAGATTTTTAGCCCAAATTCCGTTACTTTCATGTGCTGCATTGACAGCTGTTCGTTCGTATACGCTCTCCTTTTATCTTTGGCGAGCGAGAAGGCTCGCTAAACTTAGGTCAGTTTCAGGATCGATTCGTCCTGAGAACGGGCACACGTGTCGTTGCATCGCCATCGTTTCATCGGACAGTCGGCTTAACGGCCGATTAACTACGGATTAATTCGAGCGAGCGATCTCGCTCTCTCTTGCTTTATTTATTCAGTTTTTATAAACGAAAGGTCAGCCTTTCTCTGTTCCTTTGCTTGTCTCCGTTCCCGTTATCGATTATATTTTACAATCCATGCAATAATGTTTGATAGACAAAGAGGGAAGAACATCATGTATGACGATGGAAGGTCGAGAGGGCAATAGGTATTGGGGAAAAATTTTATGAAGGAAACTGTCAAGAGAGGAAGCGCAAAGCTCTGAGAGTTTGTTAAATAGAGTCAACAAGAGAAATCTTGCTTTCAAAGACGGAGATTCAAATCAATAAAGAAAGAAAGAAGGAAAGAAAGAGAGAGAGAGAGAGAGAGAGAGAGCAGATTTAATTAATGTTACAGCTTATTAAAAAATAAAAATAAATACGATAAAAATAGTTAAAAGTAGAACTTAATAATTAATAATACATGTGTTTTATCTTTCGATCTTATGAAATTGATAGCTTCATTGCATATACAAGTATAGACTAGTACTATCATGAGAAGTATTTTTTACTTGATCTTTTACCTTTGACATAATTTCCGCAAAAATGCATCTTTTCCGAAATATTCCGTTTTTTAATACGTCAATATAGTGTCATTTCCTATAAATCTTTGCATAAAAGTTTATAATAATATTGTCACAATTTATAATATTTACATTATATATGTGCATAGGCATATTTACATTATATATACATATGCACGTTTATTTTGTTTATAGAAAGTACTTTACCGTAA